TGGGAAAGGCACTTTACACGAATTTTCCTCACTTCATCCATGTGGGAATGGGTACCCGGCTATAGACAGCGAAAGATCTTGTCAGTTTGTTAGTGTTTGAGCGCTTAATCGGCTGCTTGCACTGTATGCTTCCCGGGAAGCTGAGAATGTTTCGGAGTGTTCTATGGTCTGCTGGGGTAATAATATAGTGTAAAGCGCATAGAGCCTGCTGCTGAGCGGGGATATGCGCTATACAAATGCTATCTATTATTATTATTATTATTATTATTATTATTATTATTATTATTACTTTATATTATAAGAATAATTTGTTTTAAAATCAACAACATTGTGGACTACTCTTGTTTGGTGACAGCGTACTCCCCTCTCAACCGACGGACGGCCCAATAACCCCCAACACCCTCTACCCCACAACGTGAGCGGCAGTAAGCTGATCTCGCGGAGACGCCCTTTGCAATATTGGTGTTTACCAAACACTGGCCTACCCTTCACACCCTCAAACTCTCTTCTACTTTCCCCTCAGCCACGGGATCTTGGTGGTGGACTTTGTCAAGAAAAAAAAAAAGATCAATGAATTAATTACCTACCTACTTTTTCTGAACACAGTTGTGGGTGCTTTATGCTCTCGTCTAGTAAATCTGCACGAGTTTCGGTTTGCGCAACTTCCTTAAAATGTTTCTGCAAGTTCTATAACTACGTCATACGTCACAGTGGTAGTGATCAGGTTTTGACAAGTCTGCATAAGACCAAAAGGGTAACCCTTACACTAACACATACCCTCACCTCATTGCCCACACTAGCCTAGCAAACATGAATAAAGAAACGCATATTTTGAGAACCTTTAGCGCCAGAATTTGTTCACTATACAATCAAGTTTTTCTACCAAGTTTTGCCGCTAAAAAGTGTCATTGTTGAGCTGTGACGTTTGCGATATTGCGTATGAAAAATGCGTGGGAGAAGCGGGAAGTACTGTGAATACCTCCATTTTCCGTGTGACGGAGGTTTGTAGTATTTCATTATAATATATTTGGCAACTTGGAAACACATGTGTCACTTTTCCCATAAAACTACGAGAGCTACAAATTTGAAAGTTGGCAAGTACCTGCAAAAAGATAAATAGCTCCCCTTGACGGAGCGCAATTTTTGACCATTTCGAGAATTTAGGAAATTATATTTGACAAAAAGTTCCCGTCCTTCGTAGGCCTTTGGGATTTTTCCACTGAGAAACGAAACAAGTCTGCGTAATTGTCCTTCAAAGCGGAAGTGCAGGAAGTGATATTTCGAGAGGCGCATTTCGTTTTGAGAGTATAGATCTAGACCTTTTAACTTTTTGCATCTCTCAAGATTTATTGTTCAATTCCAGTAGAGTGTAGATCTAAATATAGTAGGCCGATGACTCTCAGTTGATGTTAATGCACCGATCATTCCTTTCATCGAAACGGGTCCCAGATAGTTTTATAATGTAAACCTATGAAGAAACGTTTTTTTTTAATCTAGCCTCAATTGATGTGGAAAAATATGATTAAGTTAAGACAAATTAAAACAAACTGCCACACAAAGTATGGAGACAGTGATTCATCCGAGAAAGAGATATTGTTGATGATAAGTTGCGCCACGAGTTTTTTGTTACCGCTGTATAAAAGTTAAAACTCGTACAATTAGTGGTAAGCCTGACCCATGCATTGTCGCAACAGGTCAACAAGTCCATTCTGAAATACGTGTACGTCACAATTTTCTATTTTCTGATTAAAAAAAAAAAAGTTTTAAAGTTATAAGTACACACGACGTCATATTCCCCACCAACATTTCAAGAAAAGAAGAAAGAGTATTTTTTATGTGTGAGGATACTGTTATTGTACCGACTAGCTGAAATGAAATATTTAAAAAGAAAAAAAAATAAGGAAAAAAGAAACCACACACAAATAAAGCCAAGATATCTTTACTTCTTGTGGGCAGACGTGAGGACTTGTAAGTGGTACAGATCACGTAGAAAGTTGTTAAGTCGATAAGTCGTCCGTTCTGAGATTGGCCAAGCTAACATATGACAGAGGGAGG